CGTGCAGCTGGGAACATCAATGACAAGCAGAGCCTTGGTTCCAGGATTGAACGCTGAAAGTGGCACGCATCGATTGGAGGCGCCACAACGTCACTTTCGAGGGGCTGCGTTAAGCTGCACATGACTTTGTTGATTTTGTCAATTGATAAGCATTGTGTCCAGGGATGGGCCTAAACAATTAATCCGACGGGTCTGTATCATGTGGTACAAATTACAAAACATTCTATAGATGCGCCAAGAGCTCATCCACAGAGGCACCGTGTTTACTCATTCCTGTCGAGAAAGGTGCTAGATCTCTACTTGTCACTGCGAGCCTCACAAAAGGACGTCCCCGCGCAAACGGTTCGAATACATCCGGTCTTTGTTCCAGAACCCCCAATCCTACAAATGCTTTCTTACTATTTGCACTGGCATTTTCTGTGCCCGTTGCGACTCCCGCTACTTTGGAGTGGGATTTGGCAGTATCGGATTGTCATAGACTCCCGAGCTTCGCGTCTACCTCAGCTCAAGAACATATCAAATCAAAGACGATGATGTTTGGAGAAATGGGAGATCATACTTACTCCATACATAAGCCCAAACGCCCTATCAATGGCGTTTCGATGCTAGTAATTGCTGTAGTCCCCCTAAACGTTCTCTTAGTAGAGGTTTTGTTGCAGTGGTAGAAATTGAGAGGAAAGGGGTATTCGCTTGTTTGTTAAGCGAGCAGAAAAAAGAGCTGTTTGCTTGACATTCTCAACGCCCTCATTAGTCTCAATCATCGGCATTATCATCCCCTCGTCAGTTCCACCTCAACAACTGTGCCGTATTATATCTGCGTTGTACAATGTGTCGGAGAAGTTAGGGACTGACCTTTGGAGAGTGGGATGTGACAATAAAGTGGGTATGAATGCGACCACCAGTTTGGACCTATTGGTTTTTAAAATATCGACATACATAATATTCTCTCTTTGATTGCAAGAAACATTTAAGATTTATATCCCCTCCAAGAATGATGAAATTACAGCTGAGCTGGGCTTCACTTCGATTATTTCCAGTCCGCTGTCTTCATTGTACAGCAATAGTACAATTTGTACAAACGAAGTTCTAAAATCTAAATTGACGCGGCAGTTGTTCAGAAGAATGGGTCTCATCTTCTATCCTCCTCTCAGAGCAAGTCTAGTGGAATGGTTATCTTCCGCTTACTCGACAGGTGTTGACGAGGGCCGGATTTGCACTAGTAGTGGTGCATCAGCTAACATTTCGAATATTCTCTTGAAGCCTGCTCACCTGCTGTATACCCGAACAATGTTCAATGTTTGAGGAACTTCATTACAAAGTAAGATAAGAAGAGTTGCTGTTGAAGTTGAGATAAAGCTAGACATCGAACATCTTCATAGAAATCTAGAAAATGACAAGCGGGAAGTGATTGAGGCTGCCAATGACCACAGCAAGCCAGATATGCTAACCCCCAAACCCGAGAATAACTACTCTAAAATATTCAATTACATCACATATATTGTCCCAAGCTTTTCTAGCCCCACGCAAAGGCCCTTTCACTGGAGTAGCGGAGCTGTCGAGGAGGGCAGTCCACCTTGTTACCCGTGCTCGTGCAACCGCTGTGATTGCACCCGAGGGACATTGTCTGATCATTTTCCCCCACATGTTTGTCGTTCTTAGTGACGAAGGAAGCACTGCATGAGCTGAAGCAGCTGGAGGTTTCGCGAAGTGATCCCAGCTTTATTAGGTCTGGCATGAAGAGGAAGTGCTACAGAGGTGCATCGAAAGGTTCGCAAACACCATTTTGGGAATCAAGGTAAAATATCAAATTAGGGGATGACTTGGCGTGTCATGCTGTCTTAGCCATGAGATGACGCCATGTCTAACGCGAGTGGCACACATTCTTGCCCTACAAATTCCTGACGATGAGATGAGGTCAAGTGAGCCCAAGGTATATATCACCAAATCATACCCTGAACATGGTACCCAAAGGGAAACTGTCGTTTAAGAAGATACGAATGGGAATAGATAGCAAGATTTGGAGCCATGGGGTTCTTGAGAAGTTAACTCTGCCAGTTGTGATACCGCGCAACAGTTCCTAAGCCCAACAGGCTCAGCAAGGGGGAGCTACTGGGATTTCTAAACCCGCAAGTTCCTCTGTGCTCTCTGCCACCTGGATTGTTGAGTGGTCAGCTTTCGGATATTGTTTGTACACCAGCATATGCGGGGTCTTCGGTGCAGCGGCGAGTTGTGGTATGGACCCAGAAGCCATTTTCATCGCACCCTCCACTAGATATTAATGAAACTCCACAATTTATTATAATGCACTATAACTGTGGTTGGAGGAATAATCTAGCGAACATAGGCAGAAATATGCCAGTGGAGAACGATACTACGACCACATTCGGACCAAGATGCATGTGGCAGCAATGACGAATAGCTTCGTAGCTGAAGGTCTCTTCGGAGCCTTCGCTACCATCCGGGGATGTAGATCTCTGGTCTGTAGAGTACGAGGAAGACTAGACAGTATTGTGGCTAATGTTCTAACCAACCAATGTACTGAGAAGTTCCGACCAGCAAGAAAAACAGTAGGACAAATGTCGATCTATGAATGTCGAGGTTCCATTGGAGAAGTCGAGATAGTAACGGAGGCAGAGACTCTAATAGTTTCTATGTATCTAGTCGGCTTTCTAGTAGATCTGGACGTCAGGGTTGTCACCGAAAGGCATGCCATAGGGCAATTATTCTCAGCTGATATTGGTTTCACAACGTGAAACGAAGAGTAGTTCAATTCAGGGCCTCCTTCAGTATGGCCAGCGACACGAGTGTGTATCCATTTTGTAGGAGATCTCCGATTCCTAAGCCATCGGTATCTGTAGTAACATGTAGCCGTGGAATTCGTGTCGATCCAGTGATACTGCATATGCAGGTACCCGATCCGATAACAGGACTGTGTCCGGCTATTGAGTCCAGATTCATTCCCCAAGTAAGATCTGCACACAACATAGTCCCGAAGAACATGAACACAGCTCATCATGGACCGATAGAAATATGTTCATAGAAAATGCAACCGATAGTCACGCCACTATGGCATGTAGGCTTGAGAGGGTGATCTGTGAGATAGTTAGTGAATCACACATATCACCGAATCTGTGTAGTTGTAGACGATCTCGGATCGTATTTGAAATAACTAGGTTCAATCATCGGGGACAGGGTATACAACAAGTGAAATGAACAGATTGCTGTACTTCATATCATAGTTCTACACAAGCTAGGGAGGGATAGAAATCTGCATATAAGGGGACACTTCCCCTCATCTGAATCCTAAGTCTCTCATCTTCACCCAGAGTACTCCCCAGACAAGAAGTCCTACAAAACCCTACCATAGAAACAACATGCATTTCTCAGCAACAGCTCTAGTTCTTGGTCTCCGCCTGGTTGCGGCAGCACCTCGCCATCAAACCTCCAACGGCAATTTGCCGGCCAAGGTGCTTTCCAGCAGTCGTGAGTGCGCATCTATCAAGACTCCGACATGAATTTTATTTGCTCATCAAGGCAGCTTTCAACGAAATTGCTCCACAGAGCGTCGAGTCCTACATCCATGCATCCGAGAGTTTTGAACAGGGCATCAGTAAAGCGATCATTCAGGTGGACATTTCCACAACACCCCAATCAAGCTCCAAATTCTCCAGCCCAGAGATATCAACCACAGTAATATAACCCCTCACCACCTCGTAACATGTTGTTGGGCTAATTTTTTCGAACCAACAGCAGGAAAAAATTCCAGGATGGATCTTTTTCGATGGCAAGAGAATTCAAGGGCGCATCCACGGCAATACCTTTTGGAACATCAAAGGCCAACTCGAAGAAGCGTTCCCGATCGATGAGCTGTTGTTAGACCCTCTTGTCTACTCCCTCAATCATCCCACTGACTTTGCTGGCGAATTTACTGGCAAAATCGGTGGAGGCGAAGCTGTTTTGAAGTGGGAGAAAAGTGGCGCTTCTATCACTGGTAGGAGCGGATATGGTGATTTTTCTTTCAAGGGGAAGACCTATGTTGACTGGTCCCCATGATTCGGTAGAACTGGGACTGTGATGTCGTTTTTTTGAAGAGTAGTCTTTTTTCTCCTTGTGGTTTTGGCCTCTTTGAGAGACGATGGATTGATTTCGCATGTAATTTCGTAGCTCAGGATCCCGTACCAACTCAAGATGAAAATATATCTGCTTTGATTTTCGGAATAATAAGCTGCTAAATACCCCCGATTTTTGAACAAACTAGATTCGAAGTAATCAGTCGGACCTCCGAGAATCGAAGACAATTTCTCCCTACGCTACAGAGCATTGCCGTTGTCCATGTGATCATAATTGGATCGGATTCTTCCAAACGAGAGAACCGCACCCGAGTAACTTTACCAAACTTCAATATCCAGATCAGACTCGAAGACTCTTTGGGGAACGCGCAAAGTCAGAAGGGAGGAATCTTTGAAGTTTAAAGCATATTACAAGCTGATGCGCTGCCCTTCTGGATGGATGATAGGCATTTTTGACGGCACAGCTTCCGTGATAGAACTTTGAGAAGCAATGACATGACTTGAAATGGGCTTGTGTATTTCGGAATAGGGACTAGTAGTTGTACGGGTGCAAGTCTCATGGTGCGCTAGTAAGCTAGGTCACGATGCTGGATGGAGAGAACTGGCTTGCCTGTGGGCATGGAAGCCAGCTTGGGCCACTTGGTTTGAAGTACTCACTTTACCATAAGATAGTCATACCGTAGAATACAAGTACAGTAGATAAGTAATATCCAGGACAACTATTAGGTTGGATGTCCGGGTAATGTCGACAGAGTGTAGGGAGAAAGGAGAAGGATTGGGTGGTGGGACGAAGAGTGGGATGGCTAGCCCACTGAGAAAGCCTCGGTCCTCCTGAGCGCAAGGGAATGATCCGCTGAGCAAGCGAGAATTCACTAATTAGAACATATTATTAGATAAGCTGGACAACGACATCATTCATGAATCTACCCTGCCCGGGTAGCTCAATCGGTAGAGCGTGTGGCTCTTATGAATTCTTCACTAGAACACCTCAAGGTCGTGGGTTCGAGCCCCACCTCGGGCTCAATCCCCGAGGTTTCCAATTGGAAGCTTCTTCACTTTTTGGAAATTTATCAGAGGATTGATTGTCAAGATTCTCGAGTTAGTGTTTTGGACCGTTAAGCGCTGGCACGTATGGTTCGCAGGATGAAGAGGCTCTAGGACTGACTCACTGCACCTACCCACCCTAGGGTCTGCATACATTACAGCCCTAGGTTGTATTTGGACTTGTAGGTGGCACTGGAAGGTCATTAATTTTTGATATGTTTTACGTCGACATTCGAAGAATATTCGGATCCCATGTTTGGTGGGGTTCTTCAGGCTTCGGTGCATTTAGTGCCTAAGCGACCCTTGGTGCCCTGAAGAGCCAGACGTTGGGCGTTAGGCAAGCCTGAGAAGCCCCTCTCTTCCAGGTGAGAAAACGGATCTTACATGCAACCAACAAAGTACCTATGGATCTTATCCTGGCAAGGCACACGGAACCCATTGAAATCTTGAATATACGCTATATATTGACCTTGGTGAAGTCACGAAAGCTCACTAGACGGATGGTGGCTTAATTGTTCATACGCTTTTTGTTGCAAGTTTTGTTTGGATTATCTTTGCCCTGCCCTTCGTCTTTGAAAGTCGTTTCCGTAATTACATATGAAAGGCTTACTAAAATTATTGCTGTATTTCTTGTTTGTCAACTGCTGTTTGCTATTCTAATCAACAACAGCTTTGACAAACAGAAAACTAAAGGCACCGTCAATGCTTTGGATGCTTTCATCCTCGAGAAGACCGGAACGAAGCTTTAGATCCTGTACGAAGACATGATCTAGGAGTCCTTCGAGAATATTCACGGCTACCACAAGCTGCAATAAACTAAGGTTGCGCAGAAGAAGACCAAGACCCAGTTATACATCCCGACCATCGAGACACTCACCCCAGCAGGGTGAATCGAGCAGCGACGAGAGAAGGTAAAAAGAGGACCTGCACACTCCTCTTTCTTCCACGTTCCGATCATCCTAGTTGAAGAGCCCGAGACAGAGGAGGAGTCCCGCATCTTCGGGGCTAAGCAGGCCGCCTTTGATACCTTTTCCGGGCTATTTTCCAGGG